AGTAAGTATGAGTGGGGTTGTTTGTGGAGATTTTTAGTAATTTTTATATATAGTTGAAATCATGAGTCAATTGAAGCTAGACCATCATGGAAAACCTGGAAGCACTGAACGGCCAGTGGGGTTCAACCAGGTCTGTTGGGAGATATCAACTCACTGAAGATATTGGTGAAATGAATGCTCAACTTCGTGGATTGGTTGAAGTTAGACATTAACACCGTTGGATGCCTCCTAGCTCAGTGGTCTATCGGTTAAGTGCTCTAGTGCGAGACTTGTAGGTCCTGGGTTCGAATCTCGTGAGGCGGGATCGTAAATGCGCACTGCTGAGGAGTCCCACAATAGGAAGAAACGGCTGTTCAGTGCTTCTCGGTTTTCCATGGCGGTCTAGCTTCAATTGACTCACGATTTCGACTATATAAAAAACTAGTATTAGTGAATATAGGAGAAATTTAATGAATTTCATAAAATGAAACCATTCATAAACTGTCCTAAATATATCATCATTTGCTATAATTTTTAATTGAATTCAGTTATTTCTTAAACATGGTAAGCTAAATAATCATCATAATAACAGATTCAAATCGTGGCTTTCGCGAGTGAAACACCAGTAATCATTGTGCATTCAATGTCTTTCCGTTATATCCCCTGTGAAGTTTACTTATTCGTTATCACAGATATATATATATATATACTTGCAAGTAATTACGTAAGCTAGATTAACACTTATGCAATCAAGACAGTAGGCCATTATCAACTATATTGTAGATGGCGTCGGGCTCACCTGATATAGATGTCGCCGAGTCTCGATTGACTATGATCACCCCTACAGTAAAATTATGCGCCCGAAAACGACTTGGTTCCTTTGGTAGCTCGTAAACCAGAAGGCTGTAACTGTTCCAGATAAAGTATATTTATCGGCGATCTCGTGGTATCGAATGAATACTGAGACGTGTCAAAGATTACGGGCAAAAACAGCAGAGCGTAAGAATGTTTGAACGAACAAGATGGACAGCGGAATGAGAAGTGATTTTGGCACAGTTAAACAAAAACAAGTACAGTAAAACAATCACTGGTACAATTGGTTATAATAATGATTTTTTCCATTTCTCGTCGACAGAAGCGGGTCACTACAATATTAGGGTCACACCTAATTATTCCAAACATATTTGTACCAAGAAATCAAAGTGTTTAAAGAAACATTTCTAAGCAAACTAGTACTACAATATTCGTACAATGAATTAAATTAAACAACTGAGTTGTTATAAACAAAATTAGAATAAAATTTATGATAAACAAAGCAAAGTAATCACATTTATTCATACTAATTTGGCATTAAACATCTCTTACTACTGGTCAGATAAGGGAAATGGTAGAATGAAAAATGACCTACAATAATTTATGACAATTAAAGCTTAAATATTTCAATGAAAATTACACTATTACAAATATATTCCATTTCAAACAGTTACATGATTAAATAAATTAATGTATTTGTAATATCTTAATGAGTAGAAATATTAAATTTTCTGACGTTTCGTAAGTCAGTTTAAGCCACTTCTTCAGAGAATAAATAATCTAGTCATAATTAATCCAAGTTTAAATTGTACAACAGAACAAAGAAATGCTCAATTTATTCTAAATTAACAAATCAAACCATGGTAATGATGCAGTGAATGAGAACACGAGTGAGCACAAATTACAAACTATCTCACTAAAATCTTATAACCATACAGTAAGCAGTTAATTTGCAAAATAACAATCAAATGTCTCAATCTTAACTGTTCCTTCTGCAAATATCAGTCCATCTTCTCTGATTTCACTGTCCATGTATTGTCATGCTAATTATGTTACGTTGCAGATCTTTCTTTATCGGTCTTCTGCCAAAATACATTCTATGTCTGACCATCACAATATACTACTTATATGGATATAAGTAGCCCATACCACAATGATACCTTCAGTTTCATGATTATTTACAATTAAGAATTTATATTATACACAGATTTCACAACACGATGGATTAGATTCAGTAGTGATTATTTAAAATAAAACAGAACTATTTCAATCCTACTGGATCATATTTCAAATAATAAAAATTCCAATCATTTTTTTTCACCTTCATTTCTTTTATTTCATGTCCATTTTATTTAGTTTCTATTTTTAAAAATGTTTTCTGTTAATGAAAATATAAAAAAAAATTTTTTTTTCAATTTTCAGTAGTCATACTTGGCGTCGTTTTTAAAATCTGTCTCTTAAATATTACATTAAGGTTATTTTACTTTGTTCGTATACTCTGTCAAATGTTTCACAGTTTATATGAATAGTTTTGTCATTTGTAAACTATTGTAATAATCAGCATAAGCAAAGATGGATAGTGGCTAACAGTGGAATCCAGCTTGACGTGCGTTTCCTCTTATTTGGGACTCGTCAGCTGGATATACCTCCGAGAGTTAATGTTCACTCTGAGACTCAAACCCAATACCTTTCGCTTCAAACACCATCGCTTTATCCGCTTAGCTACTGAGTCCTGATAGTTACAAACAATACTAAGTGAATTTATTGTATTAATAGTTTGTTTTTTCTCATGTGTTATCAATAAACCTTTCATGATAAATTACCAATATATATATATATATATATATATATATGTTAAGTACTTTAAAATCTTAATATGTGTCATTGGTGCTATTATAATCCTAGGATTAGATAGTAAAGCTTATCTAATTTGTTTTAGTTTTTAATGGTACTCTGTATAAAATCATTCTGTTATGTGAAGTATATTCAGAGTGAGAAATTTCTACTCACCTGCTATCATAAGTGACCTACTGTTACATCGTTTAAAACAAATATTCGATGGAAATTAACTTTATTAATGAATCACATTCTAAATTGAATGATATTAACAGGATTTATGACAATAACCCCATAGTTACAGTCCATTTTCCATATATGCTTGAGTGAAAAAGCAAGACACTATTGATAAACTTGAGCAATTCATATAGTCATTTAAACAGATAAATACATGTTAACTCGTTTTTATTGAACTAAGCTATATATGTCCCTGATTCCTATCCAACTACTTACCATCAGTTGATGGAACTAGATAAAATCATAATACAACTTGATAACTAGTGTATTTTTTCTTGAGTTGTTAAATAAATGAAATCGTGACACAGAGGTTAAGAAAGGCAGTACACAAAACATTTAATGCAGCCAGACTGAGTACCGTCTTCTACAACCGCACCACGATAAGAACGGTTAATAAAGACAGATTGCTTGAATTCGCCACATCTATGTGTACTTACCAATTCAACTACTCCTGTGGAGCCTGTTATATAGGGCGTACAATTCGGCAAGTTCGTCAACAAATAACAGAACACCATCCGTCGTGGTTGAGCAAAGGACAGGTAAAGGGGATTAAGAGTTCTATTCTCTCTCAATTAGTGGACACAGTTCATCAAGTTGAACTGAATAAAGCTTTAAAGTTTATCTACCGTATTCCATCAAATTTGCCGCATGGTTTACGAGCTCGTCTTTTGTACAAAGCTGAATCCATCGCAATCCATATTCACAAACCGAACCTTTATATCCAAAATAAGTTTGTACAACCACTCTCGCTACCTTCGCCATCGGTATAACGGAGTTCGTAGTAAAACTTTGGTAAACAATTATCTTATTCCTTCCATCAGAGTTAAGCTATGATGCATAGATGGACAGTGTGAAAGTGAAATCTTTGAAATACATTTTTGAAAGACAGTTTATAATTTAAAGATTATTGAATTAAAAGTTCATAATTTTGAGTTAGGGACTGACATGATTATAGAAAACTTTTCATTGGACGTCTTCTGTTCATACGATTAGTTTTTATATATCATAAAATAGACGGATTCATTTGCGATTTTGAATGTTTATAGTGAGAAAATATAAACCTTCATAAATAATGTAATGGGGTTATTTGTGGAGATTTTTAGTAATTCTTTTATATATAGTTGAAATTATGAGTCAATTGAAGTTAGACCACCATGAAAAAACCTGGAAGCACTGGACGGCCGTTTCGTCCTGTTGTGGGACTCCTCAGCAGTGCGGATCCACGATCCCGCTTCACGTGATTTGAACCCAGGACCTAATGTAGTGGTTGAGTAATACTAATTTACTGACACTTTTTAACTACATACATGTGAAAAACATTAGACTACTGTAAAAAAAAATTGTGTTGTTTAAGTAATATAAACAAATTAAACACTGAGAAATACTTGATGTTACACTGTTGACTACTACACATTTCTGATGCTTTCAAATAGGCACCCCAACCTAATGAAACTAATTATGCAGTAAACTTCATCTACAAAATTTCGCTCATAACATTTTGAGAATAATGATATATTTGCGTTACACTAACAAAAATTGTGATGATATACAATAATGAGGTATCCACTCAAGAAACTGATATGCTACCATATACTAATCAAAAATAATCATGGAAATTAACAACAGCAAAATACTAAGTAAAGATGGATAGTGGCTAGGAGTAGAATCCAGTTTGACACACGTTTCGTCCTATTTGGGACTCGTCAGCTGGATGTACCTGCATCTCAGAGTTGATGTTCACTCTGGGACTCGAATCAAGTACCTTTCGTTTCAAATGGGAAGATTCAAACAAACAATACTAAGTGATGGTAAGCAAAGAGACTGACCAGTTGCAGTCCTTAAAACATCAATGGGAAGATCCAAACAAACAATACTAAGTAAATTTTAATACTAAGTGAATTTAAGCAAAATACTAGTTGAAAAATTTAATGACTATCATGATTCAGTGTCCTAATGATTTGAAGCGATAAGTTAAAATCTCTGTGTGAATATCAACAAACAGACGCAAGTAAATTTATCACACGACCCTTAAATATGATAAAACATTAGTCGTTCGGTTCTAGCTCTGGGTAATAATTAATTTAGTAATAGGTTAAAAATTACATAATAGTTTTAAATGGTTTATAATAACTGACCTGATACTTGTTCCATATCTAATGTCTATTTTATTTTTAAATCCACATCCGAACAGTTTCTTAAAGCATGAAACATCTTAAATATATGATTGTTTTGATGAAAATGACCACCATTTTCATGTAGTAAAACAAACTGTCTAGTTTCTTTAAAACAGTATTTGCGTTGTATACTTGTATACAGTTTTTATTTCTTATTATATTTGGGTCATTTCAATGTGTTTTTTTTAATGTGTTAAAATGTAATTCATTATAAATTTATTAAGTGTATCATTTTATTTAGTATCCGTCATCCAATTTTGTTCACACCTATGTATACCTTTCATTATTGTATGTGAGTAAACGTGTATACAGTTGATTTTTCAACCAGTCGTCTTAAGTTCATCCTCAAATAGCTACTCACTTACTCCCTCCCTCCCTCCTTCACTCACTCACTCACCTGTCATTTTCTTTATGTCATTTCCTCTAAAAGCTTTTCATTCACATTGAAATACATGCAAATATGTAAACATACGCACACATACACACATGCAAAGAACACCGTAAACAAATTTTCGTATGCACAGACTAATATGTAAATACATATGGTGCATATCCCTATTTTCCGTTTAGATACAGGTCTTATTTCAGCCAAGCATGAATAATAAATACCTGGTTGGCTAATCGACTGGATGGTTAATCAGTTCATTATACTTGGATTGATTGACTGACTGGCATAATCGTTAGGCATCCATATGCAATGAAGAGTAATATGAATTGTTTAGAGCTCTTGCTATCATTATTTTCATCATTATTACTAAATATATTTACATAATTTTAAAATGAAAGATAAAAATTATAATAGACAAACATTTAGAAATTATCACTTACCGAATATAATAAATAAAAATATATTATGTTCACAAATGATTATTCTTATTTTCAGAAGGGGTTTTGTGTGGAGATTTCAGTATTTTCATAGTTGAAATCATGAGTCAATTGAAGCTAGACCACTAGTAACTGACTTCAAGAGATATTTCCTTGAGTTCTAGTGGGAAGCAGTGACCAGTGGAGTTCAACCAAGTCTGTTGTAGAGATATCAACTCACTGGAAACAATTGGTGAACGGTTGCTCAACTTCGTGGATTGGTTGAAGTTAGACATTAACACCGTTGGATGCCTCCCAGCTCAGTGGTCTATCGGTTAAGTGCTCTGGTGCGAGACTGGTAGGTCCTGTTTTCGAGTCTCGCGAGTGCGGGATCGTGGATGCGCACCTCTGAGGAGTCCCATAATAGGACGAAATGGCCGTCCAGTGTTTCCAGGTTTTCCATGGTGATCTAGCTTCAATTGACTATGAAAATATTCTTATTTTGATTAGCTTGACTGTTTACATTCAAATAGTTGAAATCATTGGATAGTTAAAAATTTATGGAATTCATATAAACAATTGAGATTACATAGTTTTAGAGTTGAACAGATATTAAGTTGATTACTGTATCGATGATAATGAAGTAGAGTTTTCTATAATTTAGGAATAATTCCGTTGACCTCATTCGATCACATCAGACAAATATTACCAATGGCAATAGATGATAGTCGGACAATAATGAGAATCGATTAAATTTAGAATACCAATTTTGCACCAAAGTGCGTCCACAGAAATGAAAAACGAACACTCTTGTTTGTTCACAATTCAAGTATTTTAGCATTTCAACTTTTTCCTAACTGAATTTGTGTCAGTGGTTCATTGGGTGCACCGATGGCAGTTACAGCACACCGTTTAGTTAGATTACTGGTCTATCTTCCTGTATTACAAGAGATAAGTGTGTCTATTTTGTTCATTGGATGGTCTTTTATAGTTGGTATGATTTATACTGAAATTATAACGTTTGTTTTATTTCATTATTATCCTTCAGTCTGCATGATATATGAATGAAGTGGTAGAGTCAACCGATATAAATTAGAAAGCGTTTGAGATTCTGTAGGCAATGGACTGCCGTTTCGTCCTGTTGTGGGCCTCCTCAACAGTGCTCATCCACAACCCCGCTCACGGGAGTCGAACCCATAGCCTTTGATGTCGCTCAAAATCTCTTAACCTTCAGACTACTGAGTCGGCATCCGACAGTGTGAGTATTTACCTTAGACCAGCCCACGATATTGCGTTACCATTTTCCATTGTCCTCGAAGGTAAACTACCTCATATTCAACGCGGTTTGGCTCCACTGATTATGGGTTCCCACCAGAACTCCGAAATTTCCTCTCGAAACTAGTCACTAGTGCGCACGTGATAATTGGTAATATGTTTAAATCAGTTTACATTCGCTCCTCAATAGTATTCTAAATAGTTTGTGTTTACGAAACTTCTACTGATTAGATAAATTCACATTTTTCATGAATTCTTAAATCCATCGATTAGATTAATTTTGGAAGAGAAAATTACTACTTATACTGGTGACTAACGCTAAAATTTTAGGAAATTCGGTAGATGTTTCACAATTTTTTTTTTAAACCTATGGAGTCTACTGGTGTAGGTGGCCTGCTTGAACATCTGGGCTACCTGTCCCTTCTATCTAGATATTTCAACAAGTTATCTAATTTTGTACGTTTCTGAAAAGTGTACAAATTTTCGTTTTATAAGTTATAAAGGCTCAATCAGAGATATCATGGTTGCTAGCTACATGCAGAGAAAAGAATGTACATTATTTAGATGTCGACTAACTAACCTGCTAACTTCTAACTGGCGATCACTCTATATTTGTAGTCAGAATCGATCAAGAAGTAAGAAACGGAAACATGTCGAAATGCATTGTAGTGAGAATTCTATATTGTACCAAAAACATTACATTGAATAAAGCTGTGTGAGAGAGCAAACCAGATTCCAGTAGAGGAAGAAATCAGGAAGAAGCGCTGGACATGGATAGGACACACATTGAGGAAATCACCCAACTGCTTCACAAGGCAAGCCCTCACATGGAATCCTGAAGGCCAAAGGAGAAGAGGAAGATCATAGAACACATTACGCCGAGAAATGGAGACAGACATGGGAAGAATGAACAAAAATTGGATAGAACTAGAAAGGAAGGCCCAGGACAGAGTGAGTTGGAGAATGCTGGTCCGAGGCCTATGTTCTATTGGGAGTAACAGGTGTAAGTAAGTAAGTAAGTAAGAATAAAGCCAATAGTGATAATAAACAGTTCTTCGTCAAAAATAATATTCATGTTTTGAAAGTAACGCTGTATACTTTCGTCTACTATATCCAACATTGTGACAGAAAAAAAAACATTTTAGTTAAGTTACAAAGAACATGTTTTAGTATCTAACTATTTTTCTATATTTCACTAATATTTACCGAAAAAAAGATGGTGTTATTGATAAGATGACAACAGAAAACTATTTCTTACACTAAAACATATTTGTAAATTGATTCTATCATTCATTCACTGTATCATTTTATGACAATTTATCAATTCCTATTTGAAAGTTGAACTAAATCTACATATTTAACTAACGATGATTGTCACGCATTTTCTTCAAACAGTAGTTATTATTTACTTGATAAAATATATGTTACTGTCAGTGAAAAGAAATTGAAAACTGAGAAGACATACTATGAACTAGATCAAGTAACCTAGACATTTGCGTGTAATTTTCATAGAAATTTGACAAACAGATCATAAAAGTGGATAGAAGTATTTAGTGATTGTTAGTTAGATAGTTAACACTATAATGTACGTTTTTATACAATATCATTAAGCAATTTTGTATTATTAAAAGCTATTTGTTTATTCGAAGATTGTTTACATCATGATGAGTAGACTTCAGCTTCAGAATTCATTGACAAAAATAAAAAAAGATAGACAGCCTTTATGCTTTAGGTCTTAACATCGTACATGTCCTAATGAATAATACTGAATGATAAGAATAACAAATATCTTCGTGATTTCTATATAAGTTAAGCACATAGTTACAATAAGAAAGCGTTCATTCCAAAATATAATCCATTTAGGGTAAAGTATAAGCATCATTCAATATCGTCGATAATGAACTATCGGTTATGACTCTACATCTATCAAGGCACTACTTAATACATGATAATGCCCTAATTGGGTTTTTCAACAATTTGGTAACAACAGTCAAATAAAATGGAATTGAGCAGGATTTATTTAACTCATGATTACTATGGTATTTTCCAAACTGTCATGGTTAATAAGAATTAATATAATTAGTTGACAAAAATCCCATATGTAAAAAGTACAACGCCCATCTCGATTCCTGAAGCCGATCACTTAATATGGAGGAATAGTTTCTCTCAAAAATAACAGTAGTTACATTATTACTCTTAAATGCTTTCTTTTGCTCACTGACTATTATCATCTAAATGAACGAGTCTCTTTTGCTAAGCTTGTACTCAAATACACAGATGTATGGTAATTGTTAATTTCTGATTTGGGGACATAGTATCCAAACAGTAGTTCATTTAAACAATGATCTCTCATGTTTGGTATTATTATAATCACAAACGTTATCTTGACACGTGACGAATAGGATAAATAAAATCAGAAGATTAACAAGCTAAGAAATACAAAATTACGGAATCCTCTGTATCACTCTCAGTTAATGAATGATTTTAGGCAAATTAAGAAACAGCCAATAACTCAAATATCAGACAGATCAGTTGAAATCATGAAATCATTTCATAGCTACTAAAACCCAGTTTCAGCACTGCCTTTTTAAGCAGAAATTGAAAAGAAGAACACTCCGTGTATCATTTGACACATACGTCTTTCATAAAATAAAAAGTTGTTATGCCAAAATGAGTTCAAATTTCAAGGAAAAGTTACGCAACCGAATAAAGAATAATAAATCCAATAAAATAATATATAAAGTGAAAAAAGGAAGTGTGAGCGATAACTGTTTACACATTGAATATTAAAGAAGACTAAGGGATGAATGAATTAGATGTGATTCCCTGAAAATTCCTAAGAGATATTTAAAATCAACGTCAGATGAAGGAGTGAACATACCATTTTCAAACACATAAATCACACTTAAAACTTCTAGCGCTTCCACAGTAAATAGGCATCCGATCAACAGTCTCCTCACACCCGGTTATTTAAACTTGTGGACAATCTCAAATCGTTCTCTTGGTCATTGTGAATAACCAGAGTTTGCTGGATATTCAGCAATAGCCGTAAAGAAGTAACCAAAGAAAGTATGAATAATGTGATTAATAAGACCTAGTCGATAGATAGAGTTTAACTAATAGAAATGAATTGGCTTGTTATAAAGCTATAACCTATGTTTTTTGAAATATCCTTCATACAAACTAGAGAAAAATAAAAGTTGTTTAGAATAGAAGGTATCTATTATGGACCCCGATGTTGAGTTATTTAAAATCTTTTCTTCAG